CTTTTGGAGTGGCATCAGGCCAGTTCTTGGGATATATTGTAAATCAGAAAGGAATTGAGGCAAATCCGATAAAGGTAACGACCTTACTAGAAATGAGGTCACCTCAGAAATCGAAGGAGGTCCAAAGTCTTAATGGTCGGATAGCCGCACTTAGCCGCTTCATCTCCAGAGCCACTGATAAAAGCTTGCCTTTCTTCAATGTATTGAAGTAAGGAAAGAAATTTCAATGGACTTCAAAGTGCGAAGAAGCCTTCGAGGCTCTGAAGAAGCACATCGGGGAAGCACCCCTCTTGTCGAAACCTCAACCGGATGAATCTCTATTACTGTATCTAGCAGTTTCGGATGTAGCAGTCAGCGCTGTCCTAATCAGGGAAGAAAATAAGTGTCAATTGCCAGTGTACTATATCAGCAAAGCACTTCTCCCAACTGAAACACGCTACCCAGACATGGAAAAATTGGCACTCGCACTTATCACAGCCTCAAGAAAGCTGAAGCCATATTTCCAAGCCCACTTAATACAAGTCCTCACCAATTTCTCTTTAAAGCAGGTAATGCAGAAAACAGACGCGTCAGGATGCCTGCTGAAATTGGCCATCGAGCTCAGCGAGTTCGATCTCACGTTCCGACCTAGACACGCCATCAAAGGCCAGGCCTTTGCCGATTTTATAGTTGAGTTTATCAAAGCCCCAGAAATTGAGGCTATAATGGAACCAGCCGAACCCCCCACATGGAAATTATTTGTAGATGGGTCCTCAAGAGAGGCTGGCGTGGGGGCAGGGATCGTGTTGGAGAGTCCGAAAGGCCATATGCTAAATTGTGCGGTAAGGTTCGACTTCAAAGTTTCGAACAATGTAGCCGAATACGAGGCCCTTCTGGCAGGTCTAAGGCTTCGCTAAGGAAATGCGGGTCAGGAAGCTCCTAGCAAGCAATGATCCTCAGCTTATAGTAAATCAGGTAAATGGGAATTTCGCAGCCAAAGATGGTAACATGCTTACGTACTTGAAGTTGGTTCTGAACATAATTCCCCATTTTGAAAGGTTCGAACTGACTCAAGTCTCCCGTCTAGAAAATGCACATGCAGATTCCCTCTCAAAATTAGCCAGCAGCATAGACTCAAAGCTGCTAAACATCGTCCCCATTGAGCACTTATCAAAGCTTTCCACCTCCGAAGGCAAAGAGGTACTGTGGATAGAAGGCACCCCATTATGGATGCATCCCATAATCGCGTACTTGAAGGAACAAACACTACCTGCTTCTAGAGGCGAAGTGAGGAAATTAAGGAGAAGGGCTGCATACTTCGTCCTGCAAGAAGACGCCCTTTACAAGAGAAGCTTCGCTTCGCCCCTTCTTCGGTGTGTAGGCGGCGAAGAGGCCACATACATACTTAGAGAAATACATGAAGGAATCTGTGGAAATCACTCCGGAGGAACGGCTCTTGCACACAAGGTTCTCCGTCAAGGCTACTTCTGGCCAACCCTGAAAATGGATGCTTGCCAATTTGTCCAGAAATGTGACAAGTGTCAGCGCTTCTCGAACGTACAAAGACAGCCTGCTGAGAGCCTCTCTGTAGTAACCAGCCCTTGGCCATTCGCCAAGTGGGGCATCGACTTCATTGGTCCACTCCCAAAAGGGAGAGGAAGCGCAACTTTCGCCATTGACTACTTCACTAAGTGGGTTGAGGCAGAACCCCTTGCCCGAATTACCGAGGCTAATACTACCAAGTTCGTTTGGAAAAATATCATCTGTAGATTCGGCATCCCCCACTCCATAGTCTCTGATCCTTCACTAAGCCCACGAGCTGGATGCTTGTGCTTAGGGCCCGAGCCACACAGGCGCTGTTCGCAGCCACCAGATCTTCAGCCGTGCAGGAGGCAGTGTGGTCCCTCCACTCTCTGTCCAATATTTGTTGTGGACTACCGCCACCGCAGCTGTTTCGGGAGGAAGAGCCTCCAACACCTCCCTTACGGGCTCCTCAGGATTGGTGCCCAGGAAATCAACCTCCTTAGAGGGACGGGGCCTTTTTCTCCTCTGCTGCCCCGGAGCTTGATCAATGGGCACTGCAGCAAGGGGTGCTGTGTCTGGGGCAGCAACAGGCTCAGTTGGAGTGGGGCTTCTCTCCGGGAGGACCACCCCTGTGGGAATAGTTGTCTGCCTCAAAATTGGGGGTGGTCTCGCCACAGTTGGGCGTCTGGGAGGGGCGGCACTCTTCTTGCCCTTCCTTCGGAGATCAGCCCCCGGGTCTTCCTGAACTTCCTCCTCCGTCGGAGGCTGGAGCCTCTTACTGGCCTCCACCAACTCCTCCATTTGCTTTTTATACGAGGAGGAGGAGGCCTTCAGTGCCCGTGCCTCAGCCATCATTTTTTGGATGGTCTTGAAGTCGGGGCGCACTGGCAGCTTCTTGTTAAAGTTATCTACAAAGAAACAAATAAGGAATTAGTACAAGTCTAGGGAGTTCGGAATAAAAAGTAAGGACTTCGGTCCTATTACCTTGAGACGCCATTAAATCGTGAGTAATAAAATGGATGTTCTTCCGGATCAGCCTGTGGTAGGACCTCTTCTTCTGAGGCAGCTGATAAATGACACAGATGGTGTCGAAGTCCTCCGTTGATAGCTCGCACTGAGGAAGAGAACCTACAAAAGAAACATAACTGTTAAACACAAGTCGAACCGAAGAGAAAATAAAAGAAGCAACTACTATACTCACTAAGTGTTGAAAACTTCGTTGGAACTTTAAGAGGCGCCAGGGGGTCCCCCTCCATTGTGTCCCATCGCCCCGCTGCCCAGCACCATGAGCTCTTCCATTCTTTGATGGAGCTCGACAGATCGACCACGAATGGAGTATGAGAACCCCATGACGTAAGGTAGTACCAACCCCGGGTCTTATCCCCCCCGACAGTAACCTTGGGAATATAGAGGGTCTGGAAAACGGAAAGGGGCATCTCCACCCCTAATGACGCCTCTTTCCACAACATCCAGGAGTCCACCATCTAGCTCCAGGAGTTCGGATTGAGTTGCGTCGGGGCTAGCCCATAGGACCTAAACACCAACCTAAAGAATGGGTGGATAGGCAGCCTAAGTCCGGCCCTAAGGATCGCCTCACTAATGGCCACACAGCCCGGCCTTGGGTAACAGGCTCTCTCTTCCGGATCGGGGAGGATTACGTCTACGTTGTCGGGGATCCTATACTCTGTCCTAAGTCTACCCAGGTCGGCCTCCCTTAATTTTGATGGGTAGTCCGACGCCCCCCAATGCACAGAGGTATCTGGTCGTTTTCATATGTTCTCCCCCCCCATTATTGCCCCAGCTATTTTTGAGGAGGTACCACAATGGGCTCGTCCACCCTTACTATTTCTAAGCCCCTCCCCGAACCAGAACTCCCATCCGAGGTCATTCTTTAAAAATTTAAAAGCCTAAATAGGTGCTGAAACTTACGGGTTTGGAGGTTTTCCTAGCCGGAAATGGCGTAAGGTCACTGGAAGCCTAGTTTTTCTCGCCGGAAGTCTAGTTCTTTCTCGCCGGAATTGCTTGCAAAACGCCGAAAATTGCCAAAAATTTGAAAGCAAAGTATAATTTTAGTTTTGCAAAGGTAGAAAGTTTGAGAAAACCCCAGAGTCCTCCTTTTATAGAAAAACAAGTCTGATCTCCACCGTTGAATTCAAATGCAATCAATCTAAGCCGTTCGTCGCATCCTCAATCTAGGCCATTGAAATGAAAGCCAGATGTGATCTACGCCCAAGATGTCGCTGTGACTTTCACGCTAACTTGAAACACGTCACCTCAATTACAACCAGCCGTCAATAATAATTAGTAGCCGCAGCAGCCTTTTAGGAGAATGGGCATGGCACCCAACTGTCACCTTGAAAACACGCAACAGTTGTCAAATCATTTGACGTTTGGGTCGCCTCGGATTGAGCTCCTCCTCCAACTTTACAAATTTTGGACGCACCTGACGCGAAGGCCCTATTGGGTCATCGCCTCGGATGCTGCGTTCCCTCCCATGCTTTACAAAGTTTCAGCCATCTCCCCACGCGTCGACCTTTTGGGTCAGCGCCCCGATGGCAGATGTGCTCCTCCTCCAACTTTACAAAGCTTGGACGCACCTGATGCGAAGGCCCTATTGGGTCATAACCTCGATTGCTGCGACGGATCAACCCCCAAAAACTCCCATAACTTGCGGTCCGGTCAGGAAAGCAAATCCACGCATGATATAAATATTCATCCCCGGACTTGGGGGACCACTATTACGCCCCGATTATATACGCCTCGGATACCGAGATGTCATCTCACATCCGAAGCCGAGATCAAGTGGACCCCCCGCAGCACCATTTATTCCGACCTGAAAACGACCCTTCCGAAACTTCTTCGAAGTGATATAGCGATTCCTACTACTGATCTGTCGAAGCATCTCACCTCCGAGGTCGAGATCAAGTGGACCCCGGTTAGAAGATCCGCCGCCAATTTGAGATTTGTGCTACACCTAAGGCTCAAATTGATTTGACGTCTCCATGAGGTTAGTTGATGTGACTTATCAACTTTACGTCAATTCAACTCAGAGGAAACAAACTGTCTGCCCACTCTACAAACGTGGCTGAATGACGCCTATGAGCAGACGCTTCATACCGTCAGATGTATACACGCGTTCCACATCCAACGGTTTATACCACCTATAAATATCCAAGATTTGGCAAGAGGCAAAGGTAATGAAACTTTTAATACACAGCACTACATAACAAGTTTATATATTCTCCTCCCCCTTTATTGATTGATTTGTGTAGCCCTTGGGTACTGTTCCGACCACCCAAACCTGACTTGACCGTCGGAGTGTATACGGTCGCCACCACTCCCGTTGGTTCCGATCGTGTGCGCCTGACTATTTGTTGATTGCGCGGAAAAAAATACGTGGAGTAGCTTTCAGTTGGTCACGTGACGGGACGAATTTCTGAGGTCAACAGTATGATCTAACTGGCAAGGAAATTGTAATTCTCGTATGACAACAGAGGTGTGCTGAAGTCAAACAAAGAACAAACCAATTAATCATCCCATTGTTTTCTCGGGGTTTGGGAATTTTCTCCAAGTTTAAGCTTAATTAATCTTTGATCATTCATTCACTTCATTTTTTTTTAGTTAATTGATCTCCCGCATTAATCTTAATTCATACATATATAGATACTTGTGTGTGTACATATGTATATGCCGATATGTTGTCATTTCACCACGTAGCAGTAGTGCCAATGTCTAAATCCTCATTTATCAGAGCAGAGCAATCCTGGGCTCCGGATCTCACCGCCGACCGTACGATTCCCGTCGGTAGCGCCGCCATTCGCCGCCGAGACCTTGTATTCGTTGTGAATCCTCGAGGTCTCTATTTCTCTTTCCTTTTTTTGTTCAGTTTATATCATTGACATTAACGCCCGCATTAGTTTGGAGGTGATTTGTTTGCTCTCTAATTCTTTTTTGTGTTTTGTTTTCTGATATGTACTTAAGTATTGTGGGTATTTGGATGTGAATTCTTATGCTTTCTAATTTAGATTGTTTTCGTGGTTTTTATGCTTATTAATTGATTGTAATTGAGGCAGGGGCTAATGGAAGTACTGGTAACGAATGGAAGAAATTATTGCCATACCTAAGGTCTCGCCTTGGAAAAGAATGTAATGTGAGTTCTCTGATCTTATACAAAGTCCAGATATTGTTGCTCGGCATTTGAAATTCGTTTCAACTTGAATAGTTGTTAATTTATTGATTGTGTGGAGTTCAATAATAAAGAAGTTATTCCCCAAATTAAAAAACCTTCGCTCACCCGAATAATTGGTAAAATAGTATTGGAAGTAGTAGTAATTGAAGATATTTAGTCTCTCTGTCCTTAGGAATACTAATTAACAATATGCTTCAAGGACAGATAGTGACGGGGCTTACATATTTGCACGAACACATTCTTGGAACTCATATCTGTTAACATCCTTTAATCCAAGTAACAAATCGGAATCATCTATCCACAAAAGAACTAGAATATAAAGTTTTTGTGATGTTTTAGAGCCTGCTCGCCAGATCTTTTCCATTGGTTTTTGACTATTTTGGGTGTCACTGTTTATGAGAGCTTGGAAAAACCAATGCTTATTAATTTTTTGGGAAAAATCATCCAAATCCATCAAATCGGTGATTTTTTATCGTTTTCATTTTTTTCTTCCAATTTTACCCTCTCTAAAACAATTATTTTCAACTCACATATTTTGTTCAAAACTAACTTAAAAAATATACAATAACTAAATAATTTACTTATAAGCCAAAAAATACTTATAAGTAAAAATTCACTTTTATGTAAAAAATTGTTTGGAAATATAAATATACTACTCATAAGACAAATTTCACTTGTAAAATATAAAAAATTACTTCTAAGTAAAAATTAACTTATGTGTAAAAATTTAACTTACGACCATAAAGTTTACTTATAGTTAAAAAAATTGTTTATAATTTATTATTTTAATTATAAGTAAATATTTTAAGTTAAAATTGACTTACATATAAAGAATTTCTTATAAGTAAAATATCACTTACGATTAAAAAATTTTCATCAATAAATTACAAATTGAAAGATTCACTAAGTAATAAAAAAAAAATGAATGTCGTCTCTTAAGAAGTATTTAGCAGAAAGAACTTTTATGTAAATTTAGCAGAAAAAGCTTATATGTAACTCCTAATGAAAATTAGCTTCACATTTATATTTGTTTTTCTTCATCTTATATTCCAATAGAAAATGATTGGCACGCAAGAGTATTTTCAAAAAACAATAATAAGTTCAAAGGTTAGTCCAAACACAATAGAAAATGATTAGGTAAAAGAAAAAAAATTTGAATTGTAAGGGTAGACTGCACATCTACTCCTTATTGATTACATATACTGGCATTTTCTATATATGGGCATATATGTAATTTTATTCTTTTAAAAACTTCGAAAACCGTTGGATAATAAACTCCAAATCTTTGGTTGGACTATTTTAAAATTCGCCACTAAAAGTCACTCAAAAATCGGAACCCTGATGAACATCGAAAATCAGTACTTTAAAAATCTCCAATAACCGGTACCTTTAGAAAAAACTCCAATAACTGGGATACCAAAACTCCCAAGCAGGTCCTTACTCTTTACTCTTGTAAATAAATAAGCAAATTCTCTAAGTTGAAATCCATGTAGACACCTTTTCCTCAAAAGGAATTCTCTAAGTTGAAACCCATGCAGACACCTTTTCCTCTGAAGGATTTTAGGAATTCAGGTTTTACACTTTTCAGAATAACTCTCTCCTATCGAGAAATTTTGTCTAATGTGGAACGAGCTTTATGCTGGCTGGTATCATGGACAATCCAGCTTAAGTAATATAATTGTGATTTTTCTGAATGGTTCCTTTTCTCTCTAGGGAACACTATATTTAAGCCCGCCATTCAGGTTGTCTCGGGTTTGACATTTAGGGAATTGTTTATATTATTTTGTAATTTTCTAGTAACATATCTTACAGTTCAAAAGGAATTACTATTATCTGCGTGGGATAAATCCAAGATGATGTTTCACACAAACCCAAACCTACAGCTCATCTGGCCTCTGTTTCTGCTTGCTACTATTTCTATTTTTAATGGTAGTATTTCTCCATATATGCGTATTCTACTCCAAATTGATTAATAGGTGCTTTTTTTTTAATGTTTTCGTCAGATATGCGAGTCTATGACTTCAGGGCCTTGCCATGCTATTGACATAACAAGGGAGGTAAGCACCTTGAGCTGTGATATCTCACACCTCACCGGGTAGAATAGTAAAATAGTGTTATTTATGACAGGCAATACGCGAGGGTGTTGATGCTGTGATTGCTGTTGGGGGTGATGGAACTCTTCACGAGGTGCATCTTACGTTTCATTTGGAGGGGAATGTAGTTTATTTTTCGCATGTATATATTCTTGTCAAATTCTTTGCATATAGGTTACTATGTTTTTTACCTACCTCAGTCACTTACTTCTATTGTACTATTCCTGAATATTATAATTTTCAAAACAATACTGCGTGAAATAATGGGAATAATAGGGTAGAATCATCTCAAATTTCTTCTCTCCTAGTATTGAAATTCATTTGGTGTAAGGAATTCCAAATAATAACCAAATATTTGGATTAGACAATAACCAGATTTACAAAAGTGACAGATGGTGGAATGCAAAAACCAATTTAAAGCTCAGCGTTTTGAGCACAATACTTTTCATTTTTGTCTAAACTGGGGAAGAAAAGACCAAAATGTCATCTCTGAATGACCTCATGCTGGAAAAAAAGCATATTGTTACTAGATTGTCTAGATTTGAATACAAATTTTCTCTGTCGTGTTAGCGCTTAAAGCCCCTTCCAGCTATACCTTGTCTGAGAGGGAGACATATCGGAAGTTAAATGTCTTAGTTTGAACATCTCCAACAATGCTCTTTATTTTTAAAGAGCATCTTCTCTAAAATAAAAAGCAACTTAAAAATACTTAAAAAGAAAGAGTGAAATTTTTTTACCAGTCCTACGACACAATATTTCATTTTTATCTTTATTATAAGCAATTGTTACTCAACATTCTCCCTCATTTTTCTACATAGCTTCTCTCTTTCTTATTTTGTCATTTTCCTTTATCTTCAAAGGAGTGCATGGAAAGGTGCGAAATAATAAATGGAAGCACCAAAATTATATATAATATTGGGATTGCTCTTTACGTTCAGAGAGTCGAATCCACTTCAAAATCTAGAGATTGTTTGACTCCTAGAAAAATAAATTAGCCCTCTAAAATGGAGAAAATTGGGCTAAGAGCCTATTGAAGATGCTGTTACATGTGGTATTCCAATTTTAATCATGCATTCTTATTAAATTTTTCTTGCTATAATGTAGCAACATTTTCTTAATCTCGTGTTTTTCAGGTTGTTAATGGCTTCTTCTGGGGTGGTAAACCTGTTTCTAGTCATGATCTGAAGGATGGGCATAAAACTGCACTTGGTGTATGTGATCAGTGTGTTCTAAAATCATTATCTAAAATACTTCCTTTTAAACTAGATGCTCATTTCAGTTCTTAGCATGCCTATTGAATTCCTTTGTGAAATTGTGAGGAAGATTTGTCTGTTGTCGCTTCTCTACAGCTTATCCCTTTAGGAACTGGATCTGATTTCGCCAGAACGCTTGACTGGTCAGTCAAGGCATCTCCTGCTGATTTTCTTTGAATTAGATTTCGTTATTAGTAATTACTTTGGACTCTTGAATGGAAATATGCTATTTTTGCTTCATCAGGAAAAATGATCCTCGTGATGCTGTAGAACGCATTGCTAATGGTAATTTATGAGCTGCACTAATTAGCCATTGATTTGATTTACTACCAAAATTTTTAATCTTATTTAGCCATTGCTAAAGGTATCTTTTGTCTTCTTCTTCTCCCTCCTCCTCCTCCTCCTCCAGTGCAAAGGCTGGTTTTTATGCATCAAGATACAAGAAATTTGGAAATCTCTGTTATGTCATTGGTGCTCTGCAAGCCTTTTCTGGTCACCAAAACCAGGACTTCAAAATCAAGGTCAGAGTATAAATACCACTGAAATCCATTTCGAGTTTTATTTTTACCTTTAATCTTGGTTTTTTAATATTAAAAAGCAATTTTAATATTTTCATCTAGGTTGATGATGGTGATTGGGAAGCATACTCCCAGGTAACAGCACTTTGTGTTGGAAATGCAAAATTTTTTGGTGGCGGAATGAAGATTACTCCAAATGCCTACCCCTCTAGCAGGGATTTCGAGGTGGAACTATTATTACATATTTTTTTAATCAATAATTTATTTTTTTCTTCCCTTTCATAGCTTTTGAAGCTAAAACACTGCAATTTACTTCACTGGCAGGTGGTTATTCTTCAGGACTTCAAATGGTATGACTTCATCCTCAAATTGCACAAGCTATACAATGGGACACACCTGTCAGTAAAAAATGTATCTTCAAGAAGGTATACATTTGATCTTGAAGAAGATTGTTTTTCTTTTTTGTATGTTCTATGTGTATTATTTTATAATTGTGGGTTGTTGATCCACCAAGAGTGCAATATACATTCTCGAGTCCGTGGCACTTAATAGATAGTTTATGTCAGAGAACTTTTAAGATTCGGTTAACAAATCTCAGTTAATTATTTTGTGATTCATTAACGGATGGATTGAACTTGCAATCAAGATTTAAGATTCTCAGGACTTAAACGAGAAAAGAGGAGATATTATTCAGGATTTTACATGTATTCATTTATTTAGCATAATTTTCTAAAGTATTTTTTTCTTAGGTTTCTTTTATTTCCGCACTTGATACAATTATTAGAGCCTGCATACCTTGTTTCTTGCAGAGCACGATCGATAGAAGTTGAAGAGATTACCAATAGTGGCAGCATCTATGTCCAGTCAGATGGGGAACATTTAGGGTTTCTTCCAAGGAAATTTACCATCTTACCTGGTGCTGTTGAGATGATATGCTAATCCCAGACCAAGAGCATTCATGTTTCATTGAAATTGAAAACAATGGTTTTAGATTCCCCCCACAATCATAGTTTGGTAATTGGTGTCAAGCAGAATTAACATCACAACGAAGCAGCGTAACCAAGAATCTGAGATAAGGAAGTTTGGCACATTGAAGTGGAGTATAAGGCCGGTTCTGGTGCTTCGAATGTATGAGTTAGGTTGTAAGATAACATTTCTGCAATGGTCGAAAGGAAAGGGGCAAATGGATGAAATAAACGAGATTCTCAGTGCTTCACTTTCTTAGTCCACTTTAAGGAATTGAATTGGGTATTTCTTCTTCATGTAGCATCTTATTCTATGGGTTTCTTCAGCAATTTTGATTGTGAGCGGTGAATCTTGTGAGGCAAGAAAATAAGGTTCTGAAATATCTTGACAGAATGAATTGTGAATTTTATTTAGCTTTTTCTACTTATGAAAGTGTTAAGTTGGATTTAGAGTAGAATAGGCCAGTCCTGATACCTATTATCCGACTCTTTGAAGTTGAATGATTATATCTGTCCCTATTCTACTGACTCTCGAATCTGTTACACCGACCAACTTAAGGGGAAAGTTGGAACCAGTTTAGCGTAGATCCTTTGAAAGTCAAGTGGGGGAATGATGTATGTATATATATGCTGAAAAGTAAGATTAACTGTTTATATACGGATTGAAGATGCTCGAAACATATAAACTCTCTACATGTATGGTAATTTGGCGAGTTGGATTAGATGGCACTTGATAGTATTGAGAGATAAGAAATTCAAATTTGTTTTCGTGGACAGTTTAATGATACATTCCAAATGTACATAGTTATTGCGCTTTGAATTCTTACAGAGGCCACAAGGTGGCTTGGTGACGTGACAAGGTAGTTGTTTGATTTTTCGTTTATTTAAACCACTTTTAAGAAAATAGGACCTTTATCTTCAGCTCCTGTTTAATAGAATTGAATGTTTTTTTTACTTTGAAATTAAAATTTTAAATTTAACTATACATAATTTCGTTATACTCATCATAGCTACTTAATATTAAAATTTCAGAAACTTAGCACTTTTACTTTTGCTACTAAAGTACACGTCATCACTGTTATTTCATATTTTATTATATATATATATATATATATTTCCTTTATCATGATAAAAGCAACAGTATGTCACCCCCATAAGAGCATAATTATTGTGGCTTCCATTCTTCCAAGCAGAGGACATTTAAAGGGAAAATCGCTGTTCATCAAATTTGTTAAATAATTAATACATTTGATAACTATCAAAAAGAAAAATATTATTTATATTTTTGACATGCCTTCGAAATTAGTTCTCCTAAACTGGACGTTTAACGTTCTTATTAATACTCTTCATTGAACTAGCATCTCCAAGCTCATTGACATGGATGGTAGATCTTTGTAGTCCGTTATCATTCAGAATAGAGACGAAACTATAAATAAATAAATAAATAAAAGAAAGAGGCTATGTCAATAGCATAGGCGTTAGAATTGAATAACGTCTTAACTGGTTCAGCTTCTTCAAGATGGCCCAATGATTCTTACTTGAATACCTGATGGAAAAAAGAAAAAAGAAAGAGGTCTGGACACGTGTCATGGATTAACGACATTGAAGACGTAAAAAATCTTGGACATAGGCTGAAATAGTGATTAATCCAAGAATCCAATTGAGCACAGCCCAATTTAAGGAAAATAAAATAAAATAACATAATCTGACAGAGCCAGCACTGGCGGCCGTAGGAGCTGGTCAGGTGCTGGCTCTGCCCTTGGCTCGCTGAAGCAATTGTAATGCATTCCTTATTAAAGTTGTGTCCTCCATAATGAAAACAAATGGTTTAGTTCATATTTCTAATTTTCACAACGACGCCTGACAAGAGAGATACTGCTTTTTTATGCATAACAGGAGCCCTGAAATGGCATGCACCATTTCATCCTCAAATACCTTCTAATTCAAGTGAAGAATTAGTCAAGAACTACATGCCCCAGAATGTAAGGAAGAAAACCCTCTTGTGGGTGTCTTTATGATACAACAAAATTCCATCCATAATAAACGGAAACTGGAGTACTAGAAACCAACTTTTATGTACCCTGCTTCATTCTTTTAATTCTCTCCAGCGCACCTAGATGTTCACCATTCTCTTTACTTTTAGCAGCAGCTGAGCCATCAGCCTCGACTTCATTATCTGTCTCTTCTCTTTTCCGCACCAAGCCTCCAAATACTGCACTTGGGACATCTTTCTGTGCTATCTCAACCTTCTCATCATCTTCAGAATCACTTGCCTCTGGCAGCTCAATCTCCTCGCTATTTGCAATAACCTTCTCCTCACCATCATTTTGCACACCTGCACTCACAAATCCCAAATGCCTAGCAGTATCTTTGGTGGTAGCATTGTTGGCTGCAGGGACTAATTGCCTTTCTAGAGCTGCCATCTCATCATCAGCAACCCCAGCTTTCTTCAACACATCTTTTGCTTCCTCAAGGGTCTGCACCTGATCCTTTTGCATCAAATACTCTGGAAGGATAAAGTGTGTCTGGAAAGGGGAAGCAATATGTTAGTACCATCACTTGGAAAAAAGAAAAGAGGGATGCAGAGCAGCAAAAATTACAAACTAAATGGTGCCAATACAAGTCCCAAGTACTGGAATCACGCGGTTGCTTCTAATGGTTTCATCTTGAATCTATTTTACACAGTATACTTAGAAAGAAACATTTGCCAAGAATCCAGTAGAATAAGTAAATCAAGAAAACAATATCTACAATGTCGTAGGCAAATAAGCTGGCACAATGAGGTTCCATGATTTGACAAAACTTCAAATTATTTCACTAAATTTACCTGACTGTAGCTTGCAGAAACGCTCCTTTTCACGCGGAGCATTTCTCTGAAGGTGTCTTCATTTCCATGCTGCACCTCAAACTCATGCCATTTACTCCAGAAATCAGGGTCGGATCTAGGATCTGCAAATTGCGATGAATGTTTATATAATGCTCGAGCACGATCAATTTCTCCAAGGCTCTTCTCAAGTTCAGCGTACTTCAGACACATTGTCTTGACAACCTTGTCTGGCAGACCGGATTCAATTGCCTGTTCGTATATTTCTCTAGTCTTTGGAACACCAAAAATTTCAGCAGCCCGTGCAATGTAAATTTCATACATGCCCAATTTTTCATTGGGTGGGACAGCCTTTGTTGCTTGATTATATACACGCATAGCTCGTTTCGCCAGACCATAGTCTTCCTCTAACTTTGCATACTGGAGATATAGAGGTTTCACAGCATCTGCTGGGGCCTAGAAATAAATGTTAATTGTAAAACAGAGTCAAAACCAATTGCAAAGTATAACAGTCAAAAAGAAATTGTATATTGAAAATAATTATACTCGTTCTTCAACGGGTAGACTGAGAAGAAAGACAATTTCAAGTTCGTGCACATTATTTAATGTAGTCACAGAGGACACTATAACAGCACAATATACACCAATCAATATGGGTGTAGAGAAACTTGCATATGGCCTGCATTTGTATGGAACAACAGTAACAAAGGTCCCTAACTGATTTGGAGGTAAACATTGACAATTTAAACTGTATTCTCATAAAAAAACTAGCTGCCAGTGATTGGTTTTAAGCTTTATTAACTTATTAACAAAGAAATTGATCCCATGCGCTAACCTGCTCATCCAGAGGGTTAAGACTGAATCGTGGAGTTTAAAATAACAATGCTAACCTGGGCTAGTAGAGTCAAACAAGATCCTTGTCCAACAGAGGTCAATTTTTCACGAGTTTTTTATTCACTTTTGAATTAATCATGGCTATTGAAGGATATCCAATAAGCGGTCAAGTGTTGGTAAGAGAAATAAATAGAAAAGACCACTTAACAAAGTTTAGAATGAACTCCTAAACTTTAGCAACTTCTGAATATCTTTACTGAGCTGCTTATTCACAAGGTTTTTAGACTAAAATCCCGATTGTACTACAATAATATATTGTTTGTGCCTAACCACACAAGAATACCTACTAAGGCTTATATTACATCTTTGAACAATAGGCCATTTAATGTTTGGCATTTTCAAACAATGCATTTCTACTTTTCTTAATCGTTGTGCTCGTTCCAAGCCATCTCCTAATGGCCTTATTCAACTCAAGCTAATAAAGCTTTAATATGATTCATATACTTGACAACCTAAAATACAGCCCCTCTATGTTTCCCATTCTTTCCCTATTAAAACGAAAAATATGACCGTTATCTGATTAGCATCTAAAATTGCTTCAAGATATATAATTTACAAGGCATTTTACATTCACTTTGTTTAAAAACGCTAATGTTAGTCTCTAATTCCAATTCTCATGCCGTAAATTCAATTTCCATAAATACATGGTTAAAAATGCAATTAATTGAAATACGTATTTACATACATGGCGGCATGAGTATTATACATTTGAAAGAGTATCTATTTGATGTATTTCACATGTATTTCCAATTTATTACAAGTGGAGCAAGTGGAGGAAAATAATGTTGAAAAGTAAAAAATAGTGACTGCCTCAAGCAAGAAGCAGTTGTCGGTAAAATAATCATAACTTGAGCTGAAGACATTGGATCAAGGTGATTCAAGTTGATTTGGAAAGATAAGGCACGTTTCTACAACTTTCATGTTTTGGAAGAAATCAAATTCGTATCACGAGGCAGCCAAAATTACCGTGCAAAGTCCAGCTTGTTACCTGCCGGATACAGCTTTACCTGTGAAGCAGCACTTATTGTTTTTGTCATATCTGGAGTTATATAGATCCAATGAACCTGATATTTGAACCAATGGAAAGCTAACTCAAGTGGAAATAATTTATCTGTTGATCATAAGTCCAAATTCGCTGCACAATGTATCTGAAAATTGGCATCAATTTGCATGTTCCAACTGTCATGAAGCTGGACAGACACAAGTTGTATTGCCTACTTGAATTTTGGATGTTCCTTTGCCTATAAAAGGGGACCTTGGCCACGATTTTGAAGCATCAATCCTCTCCATCATATTCTAGTTTCCTTTATTTTCTTTGTAACATTTCACTATGTATTTCTAAACATTTAGCTAGAGCTAAGGGTGAAACTTTGATGAATGTTTAGTATTGTCTTTGATCTTTCATTTTGTTCTTCAATGTTCATCTTCTTACTTGGTTGAAGTTTATGTTCTACAAATGATTTTGGTTTGTTAAAGACTTTGATTTATTGTTGACAATTTTGGCACAATAAATGCTTAGATAATCTCTACATACCAACAACTTATTTTGACATATTCTCTCAAACAATTATCAAGATCTATCTTTTAGTATGTTTGTGGTTAATGTTTTATCTTCCATATGAGATCACTCCTTAGTTGATTTTCATATGAGTTAAATTAAAGATCAAGTGCAATTTCTACTCATTTATCCGAAGTGAATCCCCGATGCTCTAGTGTTTGTCTTCATCGTATTTTCACCAACCGTTCATTACTCATAGAATAGTTTATTTCCTTCCAATTCCCTGTGGTTCGACCTCGAACTTCCGAGATTTACTACTTGCGACAACCTGCACTTGGGTTTGCAACGTTAAAGTTGTAGCATTATCCATTACATTAAGCCATCGAGCCCATAACGGCTATATTTTTCATTATCATTTTTACAAAAATGGGAAACAAACGCCCCGACAATTTGAAATGACATAATGATGATAAACAATGCATACAATATTGTGAAGGTTTTTGAATTATATAATATGTAATTTAGTCTACATAACTACGTGATGAAAATTTCTTGAAATTGTTAGACGACACGAAACGAAATGAGGACCTCAAGAGGATGTAATGCATGGGTTAGAGCAGTTTGACAAAAGGGACAAGTGCTACACAGATTCTATGTGATCACGTAAGAAATATCAAGTTAAAAGCATGGTTACCAGTCCACACCAGCCATACTTTATGGTACTCGATGTGAGCTATTGAAGGACAAAATTTCCATAGAAAGCACTTAGTAGAAGTGGGAATGTTAATGTGCATTGTGGCTATACTTGAATAGGCCAATTAAGCTTAGAATTTAAGGTCGCTAGGGCATGTCTTACGTAGACAAAAATAAATTCTGATGCAGAAGATCAACGTATTCCAGTAAAAACAAGTCGTAATAGAGAGAGGTAGCTAATGTAGTAGAATAATTTGATATCTTTTAACCATTCAGTGATAGAAAATTGAAAAAAGGATTCATGTCGACAAACCAAGTTAAGAACATATAAGGCTTTGTTTTTATTGTTAAAAGGCAAAGAAAATTAAAAAATACTAATAATAACATAATATAGGATGAATGTCATAATAACTTTTGCAAATATAGATACGAGAATGCATTCAAGATTAAAATTAAAATTCTAGATTTATTTCATTTATGATGGAAAAAACACTAAAAAAGGTGAGATGCTGATTCATAGGACTAATGTTCTTACTCAACACATAATGAATAAATTTTCAAACTAACGAAACAATCACCAAGATCGAACTAGGTTTCTATCTCCTTTTATTCCTTTACTTATGCAATTGCGAGAAGAGAATGAATAACTAATTCCCACAGATATAGAATGGTATTGAATCCAAAGCAATAGATAAAGATGTGCATACCATCTCAACAGCATGCTCAAATAACTCTCGAGCCCGCTCTAATTTTGACTTCCCATATCTTTTAACAAACTTTGAAAGGTACCAGATTACATTCCTCAATTTAACCGCCACCAATTTTCTTATTATTTAATACAATTCCAATCAAGTGTTACATATTTACCAAGCAACTAGCACCAAAAGCAGCGTGCCATACAGAGAAAACATCATGTGAGAAGAAAGGAGAAAAGTTACCTCTGCGTTTGACCTCAACGGATGGCTCTGCAGTAGCACGCCTCATCAGCTCCAGAGCACCCTTGAAATTCTTATGCCTTAGCTCCATCTCAGCCCATTCACACCAAACACTTGCCAGATGGTCTACAGCCTTATAATTGACCTGCACTGCTTTGTCAAATATTACCCGGGCATTTGCAACATCTCTGTGACTTTCATACAGCTTTGCAAATGCAACCCACAAAGTATGAGACTTCCCCACCGCCTTCATTGGGTCCACTGTTCTCACTGCTTCTGTGTAGGTCAATATCTGCTTCGTGGGATTTCCCTCAAAAAGCTTAACTCGCCTATGCCACTGCTCCACATTGTGTGGATTCTGCCTCAAAAGCACGCTGTTGGCCAACTCAGGCCTTCTATCCATTAAGTATTCCAACTTCGCCAACCTCAAATCCACATCATTCTCATCCTTCAACCAGAAGTTCTTGATCCTCTTTTCCAACTTCGCTATATTCAACCTATCATCATCCTCACTCTCATCCTCCTCTTCTGCCTCGTCATCGTTCTCAACATCGCTATCACTCATCATATCCATTTTAACGGACAACATACTCTCCTCAAACTGCGAGTAAGAGTCAAAAATAACGCTAAAATCCCTTACTGTCACCACAGTTGTCATCCCTTCCTCAAAAATATCTCGCGCCTTCTCCATCAAACCCCGCCTTATATAATAATCTGCCAAGGACGTCCAGAGCCTCCCTACCTCATCAGTGAACTTCCTAATCCCTCCCCTAATTATTGCATCCACATTCAACCCATGTATCTCCTTTGCGTGCTGTGTCAACAAGTCGCACAACTCCAACCACAAACTATGCTTCGTCTTGCCTTTTATTGAATAAAACTGATCATCATTCAAAACACCTGCCAACCTCTCCGCAGCCTCCTGCCACAACTCTGAAATAACCAAAAACTCAATAAAGTCCTCGATATGGCTGGGATCATATTTCAAATATCTCCTATAAACTCTCAACGACGTCTCTATGGGTACTCCCTTCTGTGACACAAAAATCAAGTAATGTTCCCAAATCCGATCGTGCTGAGTAACCGGAAGCGCACATAGAGCCCGATCAAAAGCTCTCCGCGCTTTCGTAATCAATTTCTGCTGGGTCAAGGACTGCAAGTACATGATCCAAATGCGAGGCATCTTGTGCATTGTAACCAAGGCACGCTCAAAAGTGTTATTAAGAGCTTGGTATTGCGAATGAGTGATGGGCAGATTTCGTACAATCTCAAGGCGTTCCCGGAGATACGCGTGCCACAGCTTGTAGCTGCCCGGTAGTGCTTTCACTGCCCTTTCATAAATAATGGACCTCTTTTTGAACGGAGATTCGGCGCGAGCAATTAAATAACGCCACCATAGCTTCAGGCTGAAGGGATTGCGGAGTAGCTCTTCCTCGTAAAGTAGGTCGTCTTGACTTGGATAAAGTTCCTGTGAGATTGACATGGCAGCGGAGAGAATAAGAACTTACGGAGATGGATAAGTTATAGCGTTACGATTGCGGAAAAATCTAGATTTGACATGGTGAAATGGTGGAGAGCTCGAAAGCGCGGGTGAATCTGGTAAACCCTAACCCTGACATTCAATTTTTGGGAAATATTATTTTGTTTATCGCAAAATAGAAATCCCCCAAAAAATAATGATGTCTAAAAAAAAAAAAAATTACGCCTGAAATTGGCTTGAAGTCGTGTTCTTTGAATCAACGCGAACGTTTCTGATGTAAGACGCTACTTTGATTTATTAAGTGGTTATTTTGCAAATAATTTAGAGTGATTAGTCCCTCTAAATTTAATGCATTGATTAGTCCCTCTAAATTTTGCAAATAATTTAGAGTGATTAGTCCCTCTTTGAATCAATATGAACGTGAATTCTATTTCAAATAAAAAATTTTCAGACGTCTTTTAAATTCTACAAAAATCTATAAAAATTTTAAAAATGAAATCCCATAAAAGTTTAAGAAAAACTTCCACTAATTTCATAAAAATCTATAAAAGATCCACAAAATCCTCAAAAGTTATCACCTAAAAAAAGTTCATCAAAGTTTTTAAAAGTCTCAATTGAATACACTCCCCTTAATTTACGTTAATTTAATTCTTATATTTATTTTTAATTACACATTCACGAAATAAAATATTTTACGTGTAAATTTAAAATTTTTTCGCCCCTTCTAACCACACATTTTTCAAAAAATACTAACCAAAACTATGTATTTTTAGCCCCCAGCTTGGACTACATTTTAATTTAATGCATTTTTCTTTTATTTTTTTTTCAACCATGCATTTTTTAATAAAATAATATTACACGTAAACATAAAATTTTTCCTTATTTTTTAACTACACATTCTTTAAAAAATTATTATTTCAAAATACATATTTCCTAAAACTTCGTTAAAAATGGAGCTCAAACAAGGGCTGAAATAGATTTTTCATCAGTGCGAGGACTAAATTGAACTACATACATAAGTTCAATGACTAATTTATATAGATAATTTTATTTACTTTTTGAAATAGCTGTCAATATTCTTGATTAAAATGGTCCCGCTAACTACTATACCGACCATAATTGATAGAACTTTGCCATAAAGAACTTTTAACTGGTAACATTGAGAATTGATTCGAAGACCTATTTAATTAGGAAATTTGGCGCAAATAGTCCTTAATTTTTGTCTCCAATGTACCCATGGTTTTTATCTTTCATTTCTTAGTGCTCATTTGGACTAAACTATAATGAAATAATAATGAGTTCTATAAAATATATAGATAATAAATAAATAGTAATTGTGATCATGAAGAGAACTTATAGTTGTGATAGTAACTTGATAACGAAACCACAAATAATTTGATTTACCATAAGAGAAAAAAATTATATCATTGCATCTCAAAGTAAAGTTCAAGCACAACACGCTTTAGACCTACAAATGTCGATTAATTTGAGCGTCACATGGTGAGGTGAGGCGAGATTTATAATCGAAATTAAGCTCCTTATAGTCGTGCGTATCCATGAATACCTCACACCTGAACCTAAACGCATTTTGAGATTTTTTCTATAAGAATCGTTGATAGGCAAAGGTCAATTTAGCCCTTGTTTGACCCACTTTAAAGTTTTAATACATTTTTTTCTCTCTTATTTTCAACTATACATTATCTCATAAAATAATATTACACGTAAATCAAAAAAGTTTCTTTTTTTTTTTAACCACACATTCTTCCAAAAATTATTATTTCAAAATACATTTTACCCAAAATGTTCATTATAGTGGGGGGCAAACAAGGGCTTAAAGCATTCAATAATAGTTTAAAGATGGGTTCAATAGAAATTTGATCGAAATTTTTTTGGATTTAATGTAAATTTGAAATGAAAAGGAGGCAACTAGATTAGTTTAGTTAGTAGGTAATTGGCTGGTGATCGGATGTAGTTAAGGTTTATAAAGGGTCTCAATAAAGTAGATGGGATTGTTAGATTAGTTTAATGTAGGGAAAAAAGGATTTAGGAATAGCGATTTTTAGGAAAATATGTGATTAAAAAAATAAGATTTTTTTTTTTATTTACGTGTAATATTAGTTTTATGGAAGAATGTGTGATCGAAAATCAATTTTGAAAAAAATGAAGACCAAACATAAGCTAAATTGCTCTGTCGAGTACCTTTGTAGGAAAAAATTGTCCTTTTAGATTAAAAAATAAATAAAATAGAAATAATTCATTGAGCCCCTGTTTGACAACCGCACCTTTCAAGTTTTGAATAATGATTTTAAGGATAATGTATGATTTTTCTTTTGTTTTTTGTTTTTCTGAATTTTTCATTTTATCTTTAATATGAGTAATCATATTAACGCCACATTCTTATTGCTTAAATGTATATGATCTTTACTTATTGTCATGTCTATTTCTCAATTTTCCCCCTTTCATTATAACCTTTAACATTATATTAATTAACCTATTTTGTCGTTATCTATGATTTTGTCCAAAAATTCTTCTAGTGCCTTTAAATCGGGGCAAATATTAATTCATACATTCGTATTTGTTGATTTTTTTCTTATTAAAAAGTACGATGGGCAAATAATGTTTAGTCCCTATTGATCCCCATTTTTGGGGAAAACGTATTGGGGTATAATGATTTTTCAGAGAATGTGTGGTTAAAAAATAATATAAATTTTTTGAAATGTGTATATTATTATTTTATAGAAGAACGTGTAGTTGAAATGAGAATTGAAAAAATGCATTAATGAAAAATAGGGTTCAAATTAATACCTCTGTACATACTTTTTGTACATAAATTGTAATCGGGAACAATATATACTAATTAATGAAAGTTTAGATTATATGTGATGAAAAAATGTAAGAAATATAATTATAATAATAAGTAAATTTTAAAGATTTTTAATGCGTGCGTAATTTTATTTTATTTTTTGAAATGATGAAGTCAACTTAAAAAATAAAAACCAAAAAGGAGGAATTTTTGTTGTCAATATCCAGTGAGCCCTAGCCAACCTTTTAATACGAGTAATGTAATTCGTAGTCATTCACTATATCAGTTGTCCTACAGGACTTACACATTACATGTGATTCTTTGATACAGTTACCTTATTAATCCATCGAATAATCACATATAATGTGTGTTGCTATATTTAATTGGTAGTGTATGGAATGGAATTGGGTTCTCATATACCGTATATGTGATTTAGACATCGGATTCACGCTTACCGTATTTGACAATTGCTTACTGTATTTGGCAGTTCAATTCACGCAGCTTATCGTATATACCAGGCAACTCACCGTATTTGGCAGCTTACCGTATTTGCATCTTACCGTATATGTTGTTTACTGTATTTGCATAAAACTCATCGTATTTGCACAAGATTTGCATAAAGTGTTTTTATTCATACACTAACTAAAATAACACGAATTTTTTTCACTTACAAATAGAAATACCGTATATGTAAAATCTATTTCTAACACATATAACGAATTAAAAAAAAACGCGTATTTTTTTTTTTTAAGAAATCTATTGCTAACATAAATTTAACAAATAATATATGAGATGTGTAAATCGTTAAATAAATAAATCTGCAAGAATAAAATGTAAAACTAAATAAATAGCAGATAAATTTTCAACCCGAGGCCCGTGCGAACACAATTTCCTTAAGACAAATTCTCTCCCTCACTGTGGTGCTAAAGATTTAGTTTGAGCGCCTGTCTTCCAGAATACAACGGTAACCAACAGAATCCGAGCACCGCGGTTCTACTCCGGTGAATTAGGCGAGTGTTCGAACAATATCACCTTACTGGAATTGACACAGGAGGATACGGAAGGAAAACAGAAAACAGAACTGTTGCGGACGAAAATTTCAATGCATGAACTGCTGGAAATTGAGTGAAATTATATAGGCTGAATCTGACCATTAGTTTCTGCATTAAGCATTGCAGTTTTTGGAGTTACACTTCGGTTTCGACCATTTGAGTTTTAGGAGTTTCAGACACTCAAAAGTCATTTGAAAAAAAAAAAAAAAAAATTTGCAAAACGTGGACAGTCCAAACTGGCCAATTTTTGCTCCGTTCAGTCCGACATTCGTGTGCGCAGGTCGCGCCCGCACCCAAGTTCAAGGTCCGAAGGTTATTTCTGTCCATGATTTGCACCCCCTGCGCGCGCACGTGGAGAGAGCCTCTATGCTACCCATGATCACACAATTCTAATGCATAGCCATATATAAAGTGGTTTTGGTTTCCATGTCTTTCTTATGTGGGACAAAGGTAACTATAGTTTTCCCACCAACATAGACCATTTCCAATGGTCCACTTTAAACTCCAATTTCTCATTCACCCGAACTTCATTTTTGGCAAATACGATGTTCTCGCGGAGGAAAACATTTATCAACTTTGATATTTCAAATTGGACCAATGGGTCCCACCGAAAATTGTGTCAAAAGTGAGCCGTTCACTCATTTTTTTCCAACAATCCCCCACATGAATGAAAATTGGGAGAGATACGAAACGTGAGACATAAGACTTGGTGATAAAGTTCAACGGTTGAAGCCTGCATAGGATAGGTAGGTGTTACCCATTGAACATTCTCTTGTGAAAGCATATTTACTTTACTGGCTGACCAGTAGACGCGATGTCTTTGAATTGTTCTGCCGTTTCTGTAAACGATGATATACTTCACACAAGATTCTTCCTAACACCCTTCAGTTCTCATTATTATATTCATTTTGGTCATGAACATAAGTCTGGTTTTGCGAGAGTTTCTAAGAATTGAGCCCCACACAATTCTCTTAGAAGCAGCCCCACTTCTTTCTCACATATGTGATTTCTTATTACAAGTAACCCGCATTACTTGGTTCGATTTTCGATGCGTAAGAATCATTAAAAGCCTATTGCTTAACCTTTATCCTTACGAGCATCATTGTTATATCATAGGAATGGAAAGGAGGTGATACCCCTACAGTGATTTTATCAAGTCTTCACAGTTAGGTTGTCCCTTTAAACCTAGATCTTGGGATCTCAAGTCAACTAGGTTCTGTTTCCTTTGTAATGACGGGCTTGAGTCTCATTCCTTTCAATGATTTCTCAACTAACTCTCTATTTAACCTTTTGGTTAGCGGATC